CCTCCCCCTCCCCCTCCCCTGGGCCCTGCGCCATCACCTCTGTCATCACCGTCGCCTCTGTCATCGCCTCTGTCGTCAGCGTCACCTCTATCATCACCCGTGATGCATGTGTTCCCGACGCAAAGAAATCGTCGTCGTCGCTGGATATGCTGTCGAACAAGAAGTCACCCTCGTCCCAACGCATGCGGGCCTTGCGAATGCCACCATCCGTCCGTTGTCGCCGAGTCCGAGGAGCGGAACCCGCATCGCCACGTGTACGTCCTCCGACACCTGCTCGTCCACGGTCGCCACGTCCCCGACCACCAGCCCTGCGTCGCCTCCTGTCCGATTCCGCCACCCGACGCTCGGCTCCCATGCGGGAAATGGCACGCATCCTCTCTCTGGAGAGGCTTAACTCCTTATTGGTCACCTTCGCCAGAACACCGGTGCCTCTGACGAGTTGCTGGTCCACGGCTGCCTCGTCCTCCACGGCTTGCCAATAATGCACCCATTTCCCGAAGACGCCGGGCCTCTCTCCAACACCATCGTCGCACAACGAAGGTCGATCGAGTAGCCTGAGGTTCCAGTGGCACCGCACAAGCTTCTCAGCCCGGGGAACCTCCAACTCGTTGCGAGACTTCGAATGAATGAAGCTCCAACGAGACCACTCTCTCTCGCACGGTGAGGCGGTCGCCCATATACGAAGGATCCTGCCTGCAAACACGGCCGTGTGAGGGAACTTCGCCTTCTTTGAGGACCAAAAACTGGCAGGGTGATCAAAGATATCCGCAGCTCGCCGCATGGTGAGCTCATCGAAAGGGGGCTCCCTCGTGTGGAACTTGGCGACCGCTCGTTGGACCTCCCGGTGCTACGGCGAATCCTCCGGGTAGCCGAACTGGACAAGGGCCTCGACCAAGGCCTGCTGCACCTCCGCATCGTCACAAAGCGTCGCGTCCCGGAACTCTGGATCTAGCAGCATGGCTGCCGTGTGGGCGGGGGTCTTGAACATGGTGMGCCGCCTGTGGAACACCTCCACAATAGCGTCCTGCTGCTCCCGATCAATGTCACGACATGCGGATAAACAAGATGCAATCATTTTCTCGTAACGTCGCAGAATCTTGCTGATCTGGCGTGTGTCGCTGTCCACCAACTTCAGCATGCCCATGATGGGCTCTAGCATCTTGCACGGAGCTCTCAAATCCTCCCACTATGGAGGGGAGCCGATACATGCAGTGACCTCCGCTGCATCCTTGCGGATCTTGCTGGTTGACCAAACAGTCTCGCGCCAGCGATCGTCGGCCACAACATCTGTCAACGCGGCCCGCAGTGCCACCAGCCTCTCTATCATGATGACGTTCGTGCCGAAACGCGTCTCCGCCGGTAGCAGAAGAGTCTTCGTCGAGTGCGCCTCAAGAACCTCTCTCACATGTCCATGGTGCTTGAAGAACCTTGTAACTTGCCTCGCTTGAGAAATGCGGGAAGCCACCCAATCAATCCCGCGGATGTCCTCGAGAATGAGATCCATGATGTGGGCGACGCAAGGAATCCAGAAAATGTGTTTCACACACTCATCTTTTTGGAATACCTCCATCGTCGCGACGTTCACCCTGGCGGAGTCCGTCACGAACGCCGTGATGTCGCTCAATTGAACGTCCATGGACTTCACCCTTTTCAACCATGCGTTCGCGAGGGCACTGGCGTCCTTTTTGCCACGCATGACGTCGGTGGACACATACACCACCCCGATCTCTATACCAACAAGGTAGTTGCACAACGTCTGACCACGGATGTTGGTCCAACCATCGGTCATGATTGTGCAACCGGTCTCTCTCGATGTGTCAAGCACCGGTCGAACACACTTCTGGACCTCACTATCCAGCTCGTCCAAAAGGGTCGTGCGCAGCATGTGGTACGAGGGAAGTCTAGGTGCGGGCGCCCCTGGAACCCCCGGGGGGATTATCATCGTGAACATGCGTTTGAAGCTTTCAAGCTTCGTGCTGTTGAACGGCATCCCGCTCTCGACGATGAACCGCATGATTTGCAGATGCCATGCGCGCTCCAAAGGGTCCGAATAATATGACGTGACGGCTTGCTGTCTGTAAGTGCCCCGACATAGTCCTGTCGTAGCTCTCCCGCCGAGAACCCCAACATCCAACAACCCGCCAGGGCTCACAGGTGTCGCGCTCTGGGCGACTGCAAGGTCACGAATGCGCTGCAAAGGGTCTAACGTTCCGATCAACACGGGTGGAGGCCGTGGGGCAGACCGACCACCGCCCGTGGTTGTCGGAACAGGGGTCGGCGATGAATCGGACACCGGAGCGGGGACCTCCTCGGCAGGCACCCCATGATCCACCTGTTCCCCGAAACGAGCCACGGAAGCAGAATGTCGAGCATCTGCAGGTGCGTGTGACGGATCCGGGTGGGCGGTTCCGTGAGCGTGGTGGACCATTGGACGCTGCGCCGCTCTCGACGGTGGCGGTGGCAGCCAGGGGTGCTCCGACGAACTGCGGGGTGATGCGCCAGGTGCCACCGCAGTACCACCCCGTGCGGCATCTGACTGCTAGCACACCTGAAAACAGGGGCAAGCGCGGGCGCTGAACTGCCGGCACTCCCCCCCCACCTGCGACTCTCAATAAATGCACGTGTGCTCTCCTCGTCAAATGCCGCAGAGCCCACACCATCCCTCAGAGGCGGGGGCTCGTTGGCTGGCGTGGAACGACCAACTCCCACATCGCGAGCACCTCGTGTCCCAGCCAGCGGCGCAGACGGCGGGGCTGCCGGTCGTGTTGCAACTGCTGTTGCAGGATGCGGTACCGTGACTCGAATGGCCGGAGCCCCAGAATTGGGCGATGCGACGGCTCCAGAAGGGGCGGTGGGAGGAACCAGCGGCGACACTGCGTCCTCGGGGAATCGAAGAGGTGGCCACTTCAAGCTCGGATGACCTGGCAAGTGGCTCTGCAACGTTTCCATGGCCGACACGAACTCCTTTGGACATTTTGTCATGTCCTTCGACCAGATCGCATTCCACACAGCAGGAGTGGCTGCCTCACATCGAAACTTCACGCTCTTCGAGAAGTGCTCCCTGGCGGCTTTAGCGCCCCCACAAATCGAACGCCCGCACAACCTGCACAGGCATTGACAACCGCTCTTCCTGCCCGCCGCCGTCGACCCATCCAAATAACGCCCTCTGGCCATGAAATGCCACACCGGGTCGTCCCGCTTGCCGTCGACAGTCGGGTCGACCTTGAACGGCGAGTCAAACGTCTTCCTGTTATGACCTTGTCGGGCGGTCGTGAGCGAGTGTGACGGATCCTTCCCCCGGTCCTGCGACATGATGAAAGTCGCCAACCGCGAAAAAAAAAGACGATGTCGGAACCCTCTGAGAATGTTGCCAACTCGCAACAGAGATCGAAGTCGGCGTCAGAGCGGCAAAGAAATGCTATGAAACAGGCAAAAACGATGAACGCAAAGTGCAGAACACCTGGACATCAGAGGGAAAACACAAGACGACATGAAATAAAAAAACAAACAACCAAAGAACAACAAAAAAAACTCAGAACTCGGAGGCAAAAAAAAAAAAACGCCGATGTTCTCTGTCCCTTGTCAAAAAAATGACAATGTTCTCCGCAAGGCAACCGTTCCACAGGCGGAACTT